TATATATATATATAAGCAAAAATAGATATGAATAATATCATTAAAAGAGATTAATGATAAATATAATAAATCTGGAAAATACACATCTAAGCTTTAGCACTATGGAGAATATATAATTTCCCCAGTACGCACAGAATATTCAAAGCATTTATCATGATGTATGTATCATAAGCTGTAGAAAATATTATAAATTCCAAAAGGCAGAAATTGTAAAAGCCAATTATCTTTTATAAACTAATAATTAACAGCAATAAAAAATTTAAGAACCAGAAATATAGAAAATCTCTTAAAAAACAAATAAATTAAAAACTCTTCCAAATTACAATTCTATAGTCTTTAGAAATTATCAATAATAAGAATATTCTACTTTAAAAATCTACTCATTAAATTTTATGTCAGTCATTGAGAAATTAGTGATAAATAATACAGATATGGGACAGAGTCAAAATTTTACCAAAGGACAATCCATAGCTTTAATTTTTTTAGTTAATAAAAAAAGAGAAAGAAGTAAATGATCAAAAATCACTTTAAATCCCCAAACTAGCAGGACATCAAAATAAACCTATGGTGGGTGGGTAGTGTGTGTAGCTCAGTGGTACAGCGTGTGCTTAACAGGCATGAGGTCCTAGATTCAATCCCCAGTACCTTCACTAAAAAAAATAAACCTAATTGCCTCCCCCCAAAATAAATAAATAAATAATTTTTTAAAGAAAAATAAACCTACATTCAAGGAAAGTAACAAATCAACATTAATCAAAACAACTTAATGAATTTATTAAGCAGAGAGCACAATGATAAATGGAACTAAAACGACTGTTCCCTCATGAAGGTGTAAATGCAGCAATGGCTTCTTAAATAAAGACATAAACAAGTTATGGGAACTGCGGTGAAGAGCACAAGAGAAGTCCTCGAAGAGGGGAAGTCAGACAGTAACTGAGCAACTGGCTCCGAATTCGAATTCTAAGATTGTATCCCAGTATGATGTTTATCTATATTTTTCCAGAATACTTTATCATGATTAACAAATCAGAGAAGAAAAGTCTAGAAAGAAAGAAGAACATTGAGTAAAATGCCTAAAGAGAGTGAAGCCTGGGTGTTTTGAGAAATGGAGAGGAAGCCAGCGAGCGGGGGGCTCCCTGGGTGCGAGGAAGCCACGGGGGGAGAAGCGGGTGCAGGGTGGTGGCTGATAGCAGAGGGGCTCTTTCACTCGGACTGTTCTGTGGAAAAACAGAGGTGGCACACTCACTCAAAAGGGCTAAAACACCTGAAAAGGACTGTGACACTGAAAGAAAACATAAATGGGTCTCAAACAACCCCTCTGCGGCAAAGGGCTAAAACACATTTTTTCAGTGAATAAATCATTCCTGTATTATTTGAAGTTATAAAACACAGAAAAACAGGAAAATGTTTCCAAGGGGTCTCATCAGGTTAACAGAACTTTTATACCAAAAATATAACAAGGATGACATGTGCCCCCCCATGCCAACATCACCTCTACACACTTACTGAAAGAACTTATTTATGAATGTCTTCATAAAGACTTAGGAAATTAAGTTATTGAGATCAAAAATACTTTTGAAAAATAATACATAATGACAGAGCAGAGTTTTTTCTTAGAATGTGACAATAGTTCAATATTAGAACATCAATCACTATAATTTACCATATAAACAAGACACACCACAGCATCACAACCATGGTGTCATCTAATTTGGTACCACTAAAAAAATTGATTAAAGCCCAACCTAATTTTCTGGCTAAAAATAAGAAATCATATATATATACATATATACATGTGAAATCATATATATATATATATATATATATATATGAAATCACATATATATGAAATCATATATATATATATATATATATACACACATACACACACTTTTTTAAGCAATAAGACTATGAAGACTAGTTGTCAATATCACATTAAACAGTAGTCAACTATGGAAATTCCCATTAAACAAGAAATGAAAGAGATAATCTGACTGAATAAAAATAAAAGGGACATTTGTGTATGGTTTAAAGTGCTATTAAGAAAATAAAAAGGCAAACTATACACTGAAAACAAAATTTGTGACTCACATGAGACAAAGAGTTTAATCCTATTAAGATTCAAGAAGCATCCCCAAAGAATACTGGACAAAGGAGGTGAGGCGCGTGTTATCACAAGGACAACAATGATAATAAAAAAAGTGTTTCTCCTCAACAGTAAATAAAGAAAACCCATGAAAACAATGAGAGATGCCAATATCATATTTACCCACTAAACACCAAAGAAAAGGGGCGTGTTCAGAGTCAGGGAGACTCCGAAGCAATCATTTCACACACGACTACAGGACGGGTAATTTGGTAACGCGGAAAGGAAAAAAAAAGTTACATGAAAAATCTTAAATTAAGTGGAAATTCCTTTTGACCTGATACATTCATTTCCAGGAATGTATTCAAGCAGAAATGACAAAAGCCATAGTCAAAGATTTTGTTATTTGCCCAGTAAGAATGCTTACCGATGATTGTTTTTAACAGAGATCAAAACAGATATAGTTAGTAGAATGTGATAAAGCTGTAAGGTAGAATTTTATGCAACCCTTAAAAACTGCACAGTAGCAGAATAGTTAACATGGAAAAATGTTCATGACGTGGTGATTTATGAAATACTCAGCTTCTCAAACTGTGAGTTCATATCATGAAAGTCGTGAGAAAATGGAAAATAGATGTTGGTCTCCACCTCTGGTTCCTGGCGCAGGACTCCTGAACTCTTGTGTTCTCTAAGTGCTAAGGGATCTAGAAGCATCTTGTGTCCTAATATTTGGTCTTTGACCCTGATTCCCGACACAGAGCTCCAGAAAAACTTGTAATTTCCTGGGTGACAGGAGTGTCTTATTCTACTGAGGTGACTGCCAGGCTCCTGGGTGGCTCCTGGATGGGGGCTGGTCACCAGAAAGACCAGGCCATGGGTAGAGTCTTGGAAGTTTCAGCACCCTCCTCCTCCTCATCCTCTTGAGAAAGGAGGGCTGAAAATGGATTTAACGGCTGATCAGGCCTACGTGATGATGCTTCCATAAAATCCCAAAAGGACAGGGCTCAGCGTGCTTCCGGGTTGGAGAGCTCAGCCACACCAAGAAGTCGCCGCACTTCAAGTCCCCAGGGACAGAGGCCCCTGCTCCCGGGCCCGCCCCTCGCAGGCCTCACCAGAGCAGACAAACCCAAGGAAGGGGTCTAGGGAGCACCCCCTGGGTAGCCAAATCGAGCAGAACTGGTAGGGCCCTGCTTCTCGCGATCGTCACCTGAAGTGGGTGGGACCAGTCCTGTGAGACCGAGCCCTTAACCCATGGGACCTGACGCTACCTCTGGGCAGATGGTGTCAGAACTGAATTAAATGATGGGACACCCAGCTGGTGTCACATTTGACGTGGGGAAAAAATCCTCACACATTTGATGACTGGAAATGAAGTGTTCCAGGTAAACAGTAGAGGAGACTTCCGGGGAAGAAACACACAAGGGGTAGAACGACCGCAGGCTTTCCCTGCAACAGGAGGGAAGGCTGAGCGTCTCCATCTTAGACGTACGTGCAAAATACGGCTGGCAGACAGCGCGCTTACAGGTGCGCTTTATGCTTCTCTACATTCATCAGTCTTTCCTAATATTTATTTCTACTATTTTCTAATCTCAATGTACCTGTAAAAATTTTTTTTGTAATTAAAAAAGTCATACTAGTAAAGATAAAAAGCCAAGAGGAAAGAAAGAAGTGATAAAGTGACATCCAGTGTGCATAAAATGTTGTGTTACTTGACACCGGAGCAGTAATTCAGGTATAAGTAAATCACGTTGAAGGTCAAAAATATCCCAACAAAATATTTGCTAAAAACCACTGCTTTTAGTACTAGAGATGAAAAGTTTGCAGGCAAACTTTTCAAACGTTAGAAGTATGATCCCATCAGATATTCAAGCTTCTCAAGCCTACGTGAGCACTGGTCTCGGCACTATTTAAAGGCTGCGTGGGAGGGGCTGTGATGCGTACCGGTTCTGCGCTGATTATAGACATTGTAATCTTACCTCAAATGTATACTGTGTTGAGTACTGAAGATCTTCTACCACGAAGCTGCACATTTTGCTTGAGTAAGTTTTAACCAGTTTATCTTCAGTTTTGACTTCCAGATGGTAGTGCTCTGTATCAGGACCATTAAAATGAGCAGGAGGCTTGCAAGTCACAGTTGCACTGTTATCTGTCTTCCGCAGGACTTCTAAGCCCCTGACCGGGCTTGGGGCTACCAAAAGGAAGAAGGATGTGTTGCTTTCATCATTTGGTAAATTCATATTTAAATTACTTGACTCTCTTTGGGTACAATATAAACTATGGGGGTTATGGGTTGGAAAGCTAGGACAGAGCATATGTGGAAAAGCTGTAACAAAACGTCCAAATTAAATCACGCATTCATTCAGTAAATATTAGCACCTAAGTGGTACTTGAAATCATGAGAGTGTTTGCAGTTCCCTTAAGGGGCGTGTGTGGAAATAGAGAATAGAGAGAAAACAGGGGAGTGTGGGGAGGGGACAGAGGGAGGTTGGGAAACCCCAAAGGCCTGCAGACCGCCCAGGTCCTCCTTTCTGGAAGTGCTTACATGACCCTGGTGAACAGCTACCTGGCTGGATTCTTTAGCAGAAGCAATGAATTGTCTTTGCTTCTGTGATAGCACAGAAACTCAGGAACATAACAAAAGCATAGAGCTTGAAGACCTGGACTTTTTATTTATCTTTTTATTGGAGTAGACTTGATTTACAATGTTGTGTTAGTTTCAGGTGCACAGCAAAGTGATTCAGTCATATAGATATGTATACAGATAGTCTTTTTCAGATTATTTTCCATTATGGTTTATTACAAGATACTGAATATAGTTCTCTGTGCTACACAGTAGGTCCTTGTTTATCGATTTGATATCTAGTAGTGTGTATCTGTTAATCCGAAACTCCTAATTTACCCCTCCCCACCTTTCTCCTTTGGTAACCATACGTTTGTTTTCCATGCCTGTGAGTCTGTTTCTGTCTAGTAAATAAGTGCATTTGTATCATTTTTATAGATTTTACATATAAGTGATTAATGATATTTGTCTTTCTCTGTGTGACCGATCTCACTTAGTATGATAATCTCTAGATGAAAACTCTAATTTGAAAAGATACATGGACCCCAATGCTCATAGTAGCACCACATACAATAGCCAAGACACAGGAGCAATCTAAATGTCCATCAACAGATGACTGGATAAAGAAGATGTGGTAGGTAGAGATATATATATATATATATATATATATATATATATATATATATA